TGACCAATGAGCCAGGAGGTCACAGTTCAATTTCCAGTCAGAACACATGCCCCAGTTGTGGCTCAACTCCAGTGCGGGGCATTGAGGAGGCAGCCAATCAATGATTCTCTCTCATCATTGATGTTTCTAGCTCTCTCTTTCTCTCTTTCTTTCTTTCTCTCTGAAATCAATACAAAATATTTTGTTAAAAATAAAATAAATACAAGGGACAGGCTGCCACACAAATCAAGATGATTGCAGGACTAGTGAGACATTTGAGCAATTCAAGAGAAACACAAATTTGCGAGTAGAATATATGACCTCAAACACTGACAACACAATTCATTTTTTTTTTTAAATATTTATTTCAGAGAGGAAGAAAGAGGGAGAGAGAGAGAGAAAAAAAACATCAATGATGAGAGAGAATCATTGATTGGCTGCCTCCTGCACCCCCACACTGGTGATCAAGCCCACAACTCACAACGAGAGCATGTGCCCTAACCAATAATCATATGGCGGTCTCCTAGTTCATTGGTTGACAACCACTGAGACATGCCAGCCAAGCCAAAATTTAAAGCAGAACTGCAAGGGTCACAGAAAACACACATGTGTGACCATTCTGGTTCAAAGATCTCTATAGTTTCATCTAAATGAGACTCAGGAATGCAGTGAACACTACCTGATTCTTCACTAATACAGACTTTTTTAATTCACAAGTCAGAAACCCTCTTTGTTTTCTCTAACCATTTCGTCCATTCTTTCTCTTATTACTTTATTCATCAATGCTCATTTAGTGTCTAGTCTGTGCTGAGGTGGCCCCAGGCTAGGAGCAGAAGACTAAAGATGAATAACATAGAATCCACATATCTTCTCATGGCTTACATCTTATAATGATAACCTTTTGTTATGAAATGCAATAGTTTATGTAGTTTAATAGTTTATGATTGCTACAATAATTTGTCATATCCCCTTTGAGAGATGTTCTTAAGAAAGTTTCTCTCTAGCTTGAGTCGTTCACAAATCTAGATGGAGAGACTGAAGTAGTATGTAGACAAATGTAGACAAATGGAGTAAAGGAGTTTTAAAAGAAGATCTGATGCATCAGAAAAGAATCCATGAATGAATTCTGAACAGCATGTGTAGCACTCTGGGTGATTTTAAAATGGGAATGTTTCTTGAAACACTTCGTTAGCTTCATAATTTCTGGCAGACAGGAAGATCTACTTCATCTTCACACAGAAAGGAGAGCTGTTTCACAAAAGCTAGAGCTAAGAAGCCCATTTCTCAGGTAGATTAAATACTTAATTAAGCAATTTAACCACATTTTGCATTTTTCATTTTTTTCTAGTTGTAGGTTTCTCATTTCTCCAATTGGTTCGAGTGAACTTTATCTGTCTTTGTCAGAAAAGTTCCTGTTACCTCTGGAGACACAGTGACATTTAGAAGAAAGCCCTATACTGGTAACAAACACTTATCAAGGTTTTATATTCATTTGGTGGCAGCTGCGATCAAGTGTAATAAAAATTAACTGAACACTTTATTCAAATACCACTTTTTGATGATCCCACAATGTTGAATAAGCAAAGGTCTAATTAGTCTGGAACTCAATATCTGAATTTAGAATTATAGTATGTTTTGTCTCATTGCATATGAACTTTCTATTTCATCAACTCTATATTGGATAATGTTTTGATAAAAAACATAGTAACTTTTATTTTATTTTCTTGAAACCAAATATTAATTTGTCCTCAAGCATACTTACCAATTAGAGAGGCATAGAAGACTCTTTGTCCCTCAGTGTTCACCCACTCTCTCTCTTCTCTATATATAGATAACAAGACTTTCACCTATGTAAAAATGTTCATGTTTTAGGTTCATCATTTTCATTCTACTGTGAAAGGGTTTTTGCACCATTTTTACTTTTCCTCCCAATTTAGCATCGCTAAGCCTTTATGCATTACAAAATCTCTGCATTCAGCAGAGGTATTAATGTTCAACATTATTTCTCTCCAACATTTCCCAATTTTTCTTCCCCAATCAACAAAATACCACTGTGTCTACTTTTACTCATCCTAGAGATTAGGGGGAGCCTAGATTAACCCAGAAAAACTTGAATCTATTTTCTAATACAATATTTGAATTTAAACCTTCTTTATTCTCTCTCTCTCTCTCTCTCTCTCTCTCTCTCTCTCTCTCTCTCTCTCTCTCTCTCTTTTTCTCTAAACATCTTCCAATCACCTCCACCATCCATATTTTGCTCTTTGGCCACATTTTCTTTTTTTGAAATGATCTGATCACACATTTCCCTTTAATGTTTATAATACTTCAACGGCTTCTCACTGCCTAGAGAATAAGCCCAGCCTCCTTATCCAACATATAAGCTCCATTGTATGATGTCTCTCACATGGCCATTCAGAGCTAGACCAGCCACTCCTGAAATGCTTTGGTCTCTGAAAGAGACACTCTTGTCTTTAGTATGTGGCTTTTCCTTTTGCACAATGGTGCACATCACTCCCTTCCCCTGTCTCCCCCTCTCCTGTCTTCACACTCCCTTAGAAAGCAGTCTCCGGAGATTGTTCCCCTGGATTCTAAGTATGACTGTGTTGTTTGCTAGTTCTGCATCTTCAATAAGTTGTTCTGCCTCTCAGTTTTAGTTTCCTTATCTGTGAAACAGGGTAAAATTAGTATTCACCTCAGTGGGCTGTTATAAAAACTAAATAATCAAATAAGTATAATGAATTGACCATGTGTGAACATAATAAATGATTACAACTAAATCCATTAAAAATATCATCTTTTGGTAGCTTCACTTGAGGTTGGCTGCAAAATAATTTACTTTTGGTGGTCAGATGTGATATCCAAATATTAATCAGCACCAAGTCACATTTACTTCAACTATGACATTCAATCCTGTTTTTCTCATTTGGCTAAAAGGCAATTCAGTGGTTTTGTTTTGTTTTTTTGTTTTGTTTTTCTAGTCTCAAAAATGTATGGATAATCCTCTCCTTTTTTTGTATTTTACCTATAATATTTGTATTTCTTGAAATCTGAAAGTATCGATTAATTTTTTTCTTTTCAATGTTATGCAGCCTGAGGTACATACAGGGATTTCAGCCTTGTTGGTAGCAGTAAAATGTTGTCCAACAAACAAGGACTTGTTAAATAAATTATTATATATCCAAAATAATAATAATAATAATAATAATAATAATAATAATATCACTTTTTATTTAGTGTTTTTGGTCGGCTTGAGGATAATAAAAGGCAAACCTATTATGACAAAAGATCATAAGTAGAAAAAAAAATTACAAAGCCAAATATAAATGACTTGAGGATTATCAATGAATTAGAATCAGTCATTTTCTGTTTTCTTTTGTTGATTAGGATAATTAACACAGTTTTTGAAATTCAAGATTAAAATGAAACAAATTTAAACGAATAAATGCCTATATTGCAAAGAAGTATAGAAAATAAAGATAGATATCACATAATTACTCAACTGCTTTTCTAATCTCAGTAAGTATTTTTCTGGAAGTGTACCAATATTTTCAAATTTCAGAAAATTTATCCTATTCTCTTTAGGAGACTAGGAGAATGAAAACTTGACATTGTACAAAATCAGATGACTCATAATTACTGTAACATTTAGGCTAGGTATGCAAAAGATTCTACTATCTCCAGCACCAATTACTTGGGTTTGAGGTTTGGAGAAGTACATAGGGTCTGATTTTATGCCAGGCTTAGAATCTCAGGAGATCCTGATGAACAGGAGAAAATAGTAGTTTTCAGCTGATTTCTGGAATGCTATTTAGATCTCTAATTGGCTCAGGAGTCAGATTATACTTCTATTTAAAGCAATGGTCTTAGGCAGTTAGAAGGAGTCCTCATGTTATGCTATCCAGAGGATTTCATGGTTGGTAACAGAGTATAATGGTTGGGAATTAATGAAGCTATAGTTTAAATAAAGGCAGGCTGCATGCTTACATATCTGCTAGAACAGCGGGACTGCCTTGGCCTTCCCAGCAGCCAGTATTGGCATCTTTCTGGGGCAAAGACTAAATTTCTGGGAACTTCTGACTGCCCTGGAGGATTAGGAGGTCACTGTTCCATTAATTTTTTGATCAATGAAGGACTCTATTTAAAGTGAAGGTGGGTCGATTGTTTTCTGATTTCCCCAGGACAATAGCAAAAACAGGGAATGTTATTGTCAAAACAGGTATTGTGGTTACCTTAAGATTGGAGCAAGGAGAGAAGGTAAAATAAAAAAGAAATAAATAGATTTATTACAAATTATTGCTCTCCCCATCTCTTGGTGCGTGCGTGAGTATCCCTAACTCTCTCTCTTTCTCTGGTGTGTCTATGACTTTCTTCTATATTAATAAGTTTAAATGTATGTGTAGTGCTCATTAGACACAATAATCAAAATTCTTATATAGCAGAAAAACCTATCTTCTGTTAAGGTGTTGTTTTTCACAGTATAATAACATCACCTGGTAAGATTGCAATGGTTATGAAGTCTCTGAGTATTGACATTATTAACTTTTACAATAATGTTGTTCATCCCAAGTAGTGTGTACATTTATAGACACATCTGCATTTACTGTGTGTCTGAGAATGATTTAATTCTTCTGCTTTGGAATTTTCCAATTTGAACCTGTTGTGAGAGTTGACACATATATAAAATTTGCTTTCTCTTTATGATTCCTATCAGTGAGTTTTAATAATTCATTAATTCAATAAACATTTAATAACAGCATTGTTAGAGTCTATATGGAATAGAAAAATAGGATGTGGACCTATGCTCAAAGAATTCACCATCTGCTAAACATTTTTTTCTATATGAATAATCTCTTTCTTTGTTTTTAATAACAATCAAAGTTTAATGTTTACACTTGATAGACTGTACTGTGATCTTCAGTATACTTATGCCATTATTTAACTATCTACTTTAAGTGAAATTTAATCATTTATTTCTCCTCACTTCTAACCCTCATCACATCTTGGGCCTCTTCTCTGTGAAGCTGAGTCATCCAATGGTGGCTATTCCTGAACACGAGACTCTTGATTCCAAAGAGGTAAATATAAGATATAATTGGAGATCTAGTTATCCATATCTATGTAATATTAGTTTTTAAGAATAAACAATCTCGTTTAAAATTATTAACAAAATTTGCCAAAACCGATTTAGCTCAATGGATAGAGTGTCGGCTTGGGGACTGAAGGGACCCGGGTTCGATTCCGGTCAAGGGCATGTACCTTGGTTGCGGGCACATCCCCAGTAGGGGGTGTGCAAGAGGCAGCTGATTGATGACTCTCTCTCATCGATGTTTCTAACTCTCTATCTCTCTCCCTTCCTCTCTGTACAAAACCAATAAAATATTAAAAATAAATAAATAAATAAATAAATAAAATATTAATAAAATTTTGAATTTTTTTAAAAGCATTAACTGGCCCACTTGGTGTTGTACAGAAGAATCTGGCAGCTAAATAAGTAAAATTTTGCTGCTTCTCAACATGGAAGGTGATACCTGTGTGTAGAAACTTGATTATAAACAAACTCCTTCTATCCCAACTGTCTTTGTGATTTCCTCTTTGGATTAATTGGGAAGCCACTATAGTCTTCTTTACCTAGACTCTAGATTCTAGAGGGACAGTAGATGTCCTATAATACTTATAATGTATCTCTTGAATCTCAGTATCTCATAGTTTCTAGGTTCCCAGACCCCTAAATGAATTTTGCATATGGCAGGTAGCATATGGCAGGTAGCATGCCAGTTCAAACATAGCCTCTAAAGTTCATGTGGATGTTTAGTCACTTTCAACCTTTAAAGTGAAAGACAAAACACACACACACACACACACACACACACCACACAAATATTTTAAAAACTTTTTTTATTTTTATAAATGTACCAACACTTATTTTTAAAAACATTTTGTGTTAATCAAGAGCAAGACTAATTGAACAATATGTCTATCTATATCCTCTCAGGCAAAGTGGTAAATGTAAAAAAAAAAAAAAAAAGTGATTTTAAATAAAAAAGTTATCTTTAAGAAATGAGCTCACTCATTCATTTCAGATGCCTTAACAAATAAGCCATTCTCAATTTTACAGCCTGCAATATTTTGGGGAGAACTGGGGGATCATAGTACAAAAGAAGTAGGAGGGATAAGTTTTTATATAATATTGAAATATTTTCCCCCAAAGTATCTCTTCCACAATTTAGGGCGTATCGCTCACTTTTCAAAAATTGACATCCTTATTTCTGCAAATTTTAGAAGCTTTGTCATACAAGACCAGTGTGCCTCTATGTTATAAACATTAGTTATTAAAACAGAAAAGAGATTTTAAGAATAGGTGTGGATTTATATCCTTGATCACATCTCTGATTTAAAAAGTAGGATTATTGGTTCAATGAATTATGAACATATGGAAGACTTTTGATACATACAGCCAAATTGCATTCCTGAAAAAATGTAACAATCTTATCAGGAATCTGTCCTGATACCTGTTTCCATGTACACTTGCTGCATAGTATATGCAGTAATAATATAATGAGTAGTAATGTTAATTGCCAATTTATTGACAGCTTAATATATGTTAAAATGTTACGCACTGTTTTATTTAATATTCACGAAACATTTTAAGTTAAGTACTATTTTTATTCCCATCTTATAGATGAGGAAACTGAGGCCGAGGAAAGTCAGCTAAAGCCAAATAGATGGAAACAGTCTGCATAATCAGGAATCCAGATCTGACTGCCTGAAGCCTGTGCTCTTAAGCCCTCTACTGTACCCTCTCTGGTTATCTTCATTTCTATTTGTATTATCTAATTCTGTCTCTCTTTTAAATTCTACTTTAAAATATTTGCAATTTATAAGGAGAAATTATCTTTTGTCTTAATTTACATTTTAAAAATCCTCTATTTTCTGTTATTTTTGTCTATTTTGCATTAAGTAATGCATTTATCTACTGGTATGGTGATATTTTTCTTATTGCATTGTAAACTCCCTTTATATATTAATGATATTTACTCTTTGTCAAATGTGCTAGCCCTTTTGGTGAGATGGTGGCAAATTGTGTGAGACTAAAAAACCAGACAGCTATATACTAGTATGTCCAAGAAGAGGAGAATGGTTGAATAAATTTTGTACATTCCAAGAGAATGTATAAAAAATAACAATCAGATGTTCTCTTTCTTTCAAACAATAATTGGCTGAAGTTCACATAGGCTAGATCTATATAAATAAAAATGTTTCTAAATAATAATAGAAAGTCAGTTGGTTGATTAAATAACAAAAGCATTCAGATGGGATAATAAATACTGAATTAAGAACTTCTGAATGTTAGTTAATGCTGAAAGACTGTTGCAAGAACAGAAGGTAGCAGTAGTATTATAATATTTACACTTTTTGCACCAATTATCATAACCCTAAAGACAAAACTTAAAAGTAAGCTAATGAGCAAGATTGTCAAAAAGTGATTTCAAGCTCATATTTGGAATATATGAAAAACATCATAAAAGAAACTAGAGTTTGAAGTTTAGCAATTGTGAGTCAGGAAGTTAGATAGTATTAAAATATATAAATAAGCAAAAGGATATTTTATGTTTATTGTTTAGTGTTACATTTGGGACATTAACAAATTTTATAGTTTCTTATGATATATGGTTAGACTATAATATTGATCCACATTTCCCCCAAAAACCTCTCTTTGTTATTTAAATATCTGCTAAATTATTCTTTTTTACAGGGCAATTCTGGCCTAAGAAGTAAAGCATCCCAGTTACCAGCCCAATCCAAATAAACAGTTATGGAAAAACCCTTCATCAGATCTCAAAATTTACTCCTTAGTTTTTCTTCCATTTTCAAAAGATAGCAATCTGTTTTTCTTGCCACCAGACTCACATTTCTTGAATTTCATTACGCTGCTTATGAATTCTAATTTTTCAAAATTAGCTTGGTAATTCATTTACAAGAGACAGACATCAGATTTATCAGATTTGACTTGTTCATTGTTTTCATAAGTCATATGATTTATAAAGTGTATTGAAAAAGAACTAACTCAGAGCAATTCCACTTATCATCTAGTTCAGTGGTTGTCAACTCTGGCCGAACATAAGGACCTCCTTTGTAAAAACTACAGAAGTACCATTCCACTTTAGGCAAATTGAATTAAGAAGCTCTGGAGGTGGACAAAAACATTGGTTGCTATGTTTTTAAATCTTGGTGATTCAAATGTACAACAAGAGCTGAGATCCTCAAATTCTAGCTTCTTCATTGGTAGTTTGGGAAAGCCAATCAAATCAATTGTGGAAATAAAACTCGAAAGTAAAAGCAGGAGAATTATTTACAACCTAGAGGCCCAGTGCATGAAATTCATCAGAGAGGGAGGGTGTCCCTCAGCTTAGCCTGCACCCTCTCCAATTTGGTACCCCTCAGGGGTTGTCCAACTGCCAGTTTAGGCCCAATCCTACTGGTATCAGGCCTAAATAGGCAGTAGGACATCCCTCTCACAATCCAGGACTGCTGGCTCCCAACTGCTCGCCTGCCTGCCTTCCTGATTGCCCCTAACTGCTTCTGCCTGCTAGCCTGATCACCCCCTAACCAGCCTGATTGATGCCTAACTCTCCCCTGCCAACCCATTTGCCCCTAACTGCCCTCCCCTGTAGGCCTAGTCACCCCTAACTGCCCTCTCCTGCAGGCCTGGCTCCCCCTTACTGCTCACCCCTGCAGGTTTGGGTCCCTCCCAATTGCTCTTCCCTGCAGGCCTGGTCACCCCCAACTTCTCTCCTCTGCTGGCATGGTCACCCCTAACTGCCCTCCCCTGCTGGCCTTATCACCCACAACTGCCCTCTCTTGCAGGCCTGGTCCCTCCCATCTTTGGCCACAGGGGGGCAGCTATCTTATGTGTTGGAATGATGGTCAATTTGTTTATTACTCTTTTATTAGATAGGATAGAGGCCTGGTAAACGGGTGGGGTCAGCTGGTTTGCCCTGAAGGGTGTCCTGGATGAGGGTGGGGGTTCCTTGGGGTGTGGGGCAGCCTGGGTGAGGGGTCTGTGGTGGTTTTCAGGCTAGTTATGCCCCCCAGTGACCCAAGTGGAGGCCCTAGTATCTGATATTTATTTATCCTATATAATTTTGTAGCCTTGAGCAGAGCCAAGCCTCCTTCTTGCTCTGTGGCCACAGTCATTTTTGTTGGGGTTTATTTATCTTCTATAGTTGAAACTTTATAGCCTTGAGTAGAGGCCTAGGCCAGCCAGGGTGTACAGAAAGCTTGGCTTCCTCCATTTCCAGAGAAACCCAACCTTCCTGCTCACTCAGTGGCCACAGCTATCTTGGTTGGGTTAATTTGCACACTTGCTCCTGATTGGCTGGTGGGCATGGCTTGTGGGTATAGCGGAGTGATAATTAATTTGCATATTACTCTTTTATTAGATGAGATTAGTTTCAGCCCTGTGGAGTGACTTAGTTGACATATGAACCAAGAGGTCAGGGTTCAATGCTTGGTCAGGGCACATCCCCAGTTGCGGGCTCTATGTCTGGTGAGCAGTGTGCAGGAGGCAGCCGATTGATGATTCTGTCTCATCATTGATGTTTCTATCTCTCTCTTCCTTTCTGAAATCAATATTAAAAAAAAAATAAAACAAAACAAAGTTAGTTTCAGGGAATGCTTTGAATTAATAAAAACGTGAGCCACATGTTCTGATCTGCTGTAAATGTTTAACCTGTGCTTTAACCTGTGCTTTAACCTATGTAGATAAATTTTGAGAAAACTGTTCTATGTTGAGATTCACTGTAATTTCTTTAGTAACACCTAATACTTTGTTTTGGTTTTCTATGTATTCTACACAGGTTTGGAAATTACTTAGGTTAAAGCTGGGCATAGTATGTTTGATTGTTTGATTTAGCATTTTATGAGGCACACTTAAAAAAATAGTTGGTCATTGATGAATCCTTCTACAAGCAGATGAGATCCCAAAATAATTGATTTGACTGTTGTGGTCAGCTGACTAACCAATTTGCAAAGAAGGTCACTTTCATAAATTTGAATTATTCACACCAATGCAACAATCTCCAAAAAGGTATATAGCTAACACCATTTAATTTCAAGCTAAGTCTTTGCCTGAGATAGAAGAAAAAAACATTCTAGTAGCAATAATTATTTCTGATTATACCTATCACGTCTTGAGAATTTAGCAACACTTTGATCTACCACCACTCTGTAACCCACTTCTCTTTTAACAGGCTTAATTGTGAAAGTAGACCCACCATTTTCATATCAACTGATACGTGTGGCCCTAGGCCTCTTTTATTTTTTACTTGAGGGTCAATTGATTTCATGATTAGATGCATTTAATTCTGACCTTTCATATTTACTTTTTATTAATACCACTTGAGAGCTAATCATTTACTAACTGCCCATAAAACACACACCTGGCAAATTCTTCTCCTGTTTTCTTATTCCTCCTCTTTGCAAATTTTGATCAACATTTAAGGGTTGGTAGCATCACAGTTCTGCTAGGAAGGGGACTATAAATGATTTGCTGCCCCAGTGTGTCTAAACTTTTTATTGTGCTCATTTTATTTTGAATTTAAGAATCCCCACTAATGTCTAAGTTTCTAATCTCATGGGATAAGTGTCTCAATCCTCTATCTTTATTCTCCAGATGACAACGTAGAACAAAGAAAATAAGTGACTTGTCCATGAAAGCCAGTCTCATTTTCTGGTTTGATTCAAGGGGAATGGGCTCATTCTATTCCCTGTAGGCAATTGTCTTAAATATTATTTTTCAAAATCAAGCTTTGATAAATCTCAGATTGAAGAGTTCCAGGTTGTAATTTCAGGCAAGAACTTGGAATATGGCTACTGTAATATATGCTAATTAAAAGAAGATTCATATGTTTTGATAAACAACTGCACAGAGGGTAAATGTGTCTTATAAATACACCTAATATGAGCTCCTGAATATACAGCACCATGCAGGTAGTCAAGGACACTTGTCAAAATGACATTCTTGTGTTGTAAGCCCAGTCTGTGTTGGGGAAATATATAATAACAACAACAATATCAAACAAAACACTCTATCAACTCAGAAGTCCTCTTCACAAAAGCAGTAGAGAAAGAAAACAACTTTATTGTTGAATAAGCATTAAACCAGAATGTGATATGCACAATCTCTAAGAGATCGAAAAATCAAGAAGAAAAAAAATCTCACCCTTCATATAGCTATATATACATGTTTTCAAGATAAATAATAACTCAATCCATTCTCAAGAGGGCTTGACAGTAGCATGTATCATTACACATAGTTTATTCTTTATCACCCCATACATGGGGTGACCACCTGTCAGTTAATTGGTGGATATATCCTTTACACAAAGGAAAAATAAGCTTTTCATATCTTTATGACAGGAGGTAGTTTTACAACTCAGAGTCAGTATCGGCTATAGTTAGCTCTTACCTCCTCTCAGAAACTAGGAGAAGGGGGTGCTATCTCACTTGGATATTTACTTGGTTCTCAGGTCCTTGAGAAAGACTTACCTGAGCCTTAAAGCTGACAAAATGCCTCTAATTTTTCAAAGGACTTATGTACATTTTAAAGAATGGAGAATGTACTCAGAGTGACAAGTTTTCTAAAGTAATGTTCTAAGAACAGAGGATGGGAAATCTCTTCCCTTATTTTGAACAGGAGAATTAAGACTCTTATTTTTAATTTCTGTCTGTTCTTATACTTGTTTGACAAGAGGCAGAACTGAAATCTCAGAGAGTCTTACTCTGAAGACACCCCACTTCTTTTCCTTTCCTAGGGTCTTAGTTGAATCTACTGTAGGAGAGAGAAGTGGTTGATAATTTTGGGGTTTCTCCAATTTTGGGGTCATCTCAGTAGATTGGTGTTGGATTTTGTAGTGTAGTGAGTCATGGAAAAGCTGAGCAAAAGGCGGGAACTGGAATGACTGGCATTCCTCTGTGTGCTAGTTTTTTAATGTAAACAATATAAGATCTATGCTAAAAACTGTTTGGAGTTCAGACCATCCTCGTATTGTTTTTTTTGTTTGTTTGTTTATTTGTTTGTTGTGTTTTTTAATCCTTACCTGAGCATATTTTTTCTGACTGATTTCTAGAAAGAATGGAAGGGAGAGAAGAGGAGAGGGGGAGAGAGAAAGACATCTGTGTGAGAGAGACACATCTATTGCTTGCCTTTGGCATGTGTCCCTAGCTGGGCTGGGGAACCTGCAACAGAGGCACGTGCCCTTGACTGGGAATCAAATCTGAGACCATTGGGTCTGCAGGCCCATGCTCTAGCCACTGAACAAAACTGGCCAGAGTGGTATTTAATGTTTTTGACTTCAGAATCAAAGCTATACTCTTCAGAATCCATTGTACCTGCATTCTCTATCAATCATGATATCCTTATAGGATCTTAATTACTGAATGTTTTACAGCTTCTGGATTACAGACAATACATTTTAGTGCAAGATCTTGTGTCTTTACACTGAAGTTAGTGGTTATATAAATGTCCAAAATACATTTAAATTTTTTTCTGGAAAAATAAATATGTAACAATTAATATTATGACGTACATTTTTCTGCAATTTTCTTTTTGTTCTGCATGCATTAAGTCTGGTTTTATATTTACAAGAACACATATATAGATAAATTTGTTTTAATTTGGCAGAGAAGAGAATGTGTAGAGGGCTTTGTATTAAAAAGGGATGGAAAATCAGTGTACATAGCACATTCTTTAGTAAAATAAATGCTTTCTGTAACATTGGTTTAAAGTTTCACAACACTATATCACTTATTACCCAAAGTAAACTCTAAATAAAATTATTTTTGGAATTTGATTCTCTTCAAAATAATGATTTTCTAAATGTCTTGAGTTTTTCTTTATGTTTTCTTATATCCAAAAAATGTGTGTTGTTCTACTGACAATATGACAAATTACTGAGCCTTAACTGTCAGGGTGCTAGTCTGAAAATAAGAATTTAGTAATGTTTATTCATGATTGTTTTATCTTTCTTAATTGTCAACCTTTGATTTTCTCAACTTATTTAGATCTTTACCTATATTGAGATTGGCAAAGGAAAGTAAAACGTTCACAAAATGTATACAGCCATGACTGTATATGTCATAGCATAAGCCAGCATTTCAAGCCAGCTGCTGGATTGTGGTGTCCAACATGCTTTTGCTCTGCTAGTGAGTTGAAGATGGCTGAGAAACTGTGCTGACTTTGCCAGCATGATGTCAGAGAATGCACTATCTATTTGTCCTCAGTCCGATTTAATTATTCAATCTTATAGCCCAAAGAGAATTTAGAAGGCATTTAATCCAATATTTTATTTAACGTTGCAACCCTGTCTGCAAGTATCTCCTTATATATCTACTGTTTAAAGTCTTCTGGTGATGAGTAGACAGGATATATGTTTTAAATATGGCTAAGACAAAGGAATGACTGCCAGAACCACAAAAACAAACAGAACACATTGAAACACTAGGGCTTAATTTCAAATACTGGGGCCTTGAGCATGATACTGAATCTTTTTCAGTCTGGATGTAATTCCCTTAAAGTGAGATCAAAGGATTATGGTGGAGATCTGCATTAATGCATATAAAGTGCTTAGCATCTAAAACACCTAGCACTTAATAACTGTGAGCCAAGTCATGCTGATTTCTTTGACGATCTTGTCATACTAGCTACGGTACTAAATGTTGGTACTTTCAGGGAAATCTAAATAAGTGGTAGTTTTCATTTGTTAGAAAGAGAAGGAGGAGATGTAATTTAGTCATTCTCTCCTTTCATTCTAAAACTTCTGAGAATCCCAGATGGTGAAAGCTACAACTCACTTATGTTGTGACTGGTGATTTTCTGTGGCCAGAACAAATCAGTGCAGTAATGGAGCCGCCCCTTTGTTTTAGCAGCTCTTTCTCTAACTCCTCTTTCTAGTCTAACAAATGCAGCTTCTCCCTAAATGATACAGAATGTAACCATATTTCACAGTCCTGGGTAGCCCCGTGGCCATGCCCTGATCAGGTTTCCTGTCTGCTTTACTCTCCCCCCCCCCCCCCTGCATACAGTCCCTTTCCATATGGCAGCCAGCTCGGTGCCTGGCTCTCTCAGAGCACTGCCTCTTCACGCTATGATGCAGCCCCAGGCAAAGCATGGGAAGAGCTGCCTCCAGAAGAGCAACTGACCTCCCTGAGCCTCCCCAGCCACTCTGGAAGGCTCCATTGACGGCCTTGAGTTGGCACCTGGAATAAAGTCAAGTTTATTTCCTTCCATTGGTGTCATTCTATCCCATTCTTGAAAGCATATAGCGGAGAAATGTTTTAGAACTTACTGACTCTTTTGGTATCATGTCCAACACTTTCTTTTATACTCTTGTCTTAAATTCTATGATCTGCTAATATCCACCTCCAGTCAGTTACATTTATCGTATCTGTTCCAGATATTTAACCTGTATCACATAGAGCTTGGATAGATAAATTATTTGAATCACTTCCCTACTGCATAACTACATTATAAACCAATTGAACCAATATGTGGGGAAAAAAAAAAAAAGGCAAGCATTCCATTCTCTGCCTCAGTCTTTTGTAATGTTCCATTTTGCAAACACTGGGCTTAATTCAACCCCAGTTCACTTTACCCTCTTGTTTTAGAATTTACATTTCGGGGGATGATGCGTCAATGCTAAAAGATAGGGAGGGCAGCAGGCAAGTGATGGAAAGGTGAGGGCTGTGGATGGGATGTGGCAGTGCTGTTCCTCATGGCTGTTGGCCTTTCAAAGCTATCCTAACCCTCTGCAGGAGGCCGGAACTGCTCTGCTGAGCTCTCAAGAGATCAGTCTGATGTGAAGCTAAGCTGCATGTCTTTTTTATGCCATTAATTGTATAACAGCTACCGAGGGGGGAAAATACAATTTTTTTTTGAAAGGATAAACCATTTTTTTAAAATGTGAAATGCTATGCTCAAATGTTAATGTATACATTTTTGGGTATGTTTTTAAAAATTATCTCCATCGCCTGACTGCTACTTTTTCTTATTTTTTAGCAATGAAGTTGGAGCAGAAGCTGAAAATCCAGGCTGTGCTAAAGATTTTTGGAGTGCTGGTGCTAATCACTTACAAGATATAACTTTTTATTTTCACTATAAGTGTTCCCTTTAGCAATGCAGCAGTGGAATTAAAAAAAAAATCTTGCAAGCATATAACATCTCAGTACTCACTTGCATCCAGCATAGGAGAGATTTACCTACAGCTTCTCACACCACTGATAGAGTCTGTAATGCCTTCCATTAAGCCGACAGCAGTACTAAGATGCCCATATATTTAGCAACAAAATAAAGAAAACTTGTGGGTTTTAAACAGAAAATGGTTGCGACTGTTTTTCAACACCAGTTTTATTTAATGCATACATTACTTACTAAATCAGATATTATTCCCCGTTGCTTCATTTATTTAAAAACATGTTTTTATTGATTTTAGAAAGGAAGAGACAGAAATAGAAACATCAATTATGAGAGAGAATCATTGATCTGCCGCCTCCTGCTTCCTCCCCCTCACCCCACTAGGGATTGAGCCTACAACCCAGGCATGTGCCCTGACCAGGAATGGAACTGTGACCTCCTGGTTCATAGGTCTACACCGAACCATTGAGTCACACTGGCTGTGCTGCTTCACTTTTTTTTTTTTTTTACATATAAAAAAAAGTACAACAACTTTAATAAAAGAGGCTCTGCCTGCTTTCCAGAGATGTTAATGAGGTGTTTACTTGGGTAGGAGGAAGTTGGTATTTTGTATAACATACACTGTTTTCCCATTCTTTTGGGGTCCTCTGCTGCCAGAACAGGCTAAGTGTCAGGCAAGCCCGTGATGTTGAGCATCACATCATTGCAATGTCTCCACCATTGCCACGTGATTCCTGTGCAGGCTATTTCAAAGTCAGTCCACATTCAAAATCTTGCAAGTAGCAGAGACCACAGAGCAAACCCACACTGTGATGACAATCCTGGGAAACCACCCTGCAGCACTCCTGATGCTCACATACTGACCATGTCCAGTTTTTTCCCCCAGTCATCAACCTAGTAGTCTGTCCTGGGCATCTGTAAGTGTTTTTCTTCCTCAGCCTTCTGCCCAGCCTGGGAGCCTAGGACAAGGCACACTAAGGAAGAATCCTTTGCAATTCTGATAGTGAGCTCCTGGTAGTAGAGGAACCCTTTGCATGTATCCCAAGTTACTTAGTGTCAACTCTGCGTGAGCCACAGAGCTTTCTCAGACCACTGCTTCATCAGCCCATCAGCCCACTCAGCGTAAAGTAGAGAGAGTTGCCTAAGGAAGAGGAACTGGCCTCCATTCTCTACCCACCATTTGGGAGTGTTTCATTGTCAGTCATCATTTGGCACCTGGAAATATAAAATTCTCATCATCTTTTCAATTAGTGTGTGACGACAAGTGGAGCCTTAGTAATGCTCTCTGCTAATCTCTCCTCCAAATGAAATATTCTTCATCAACCTGCTAAATGGCATGAATCACCACTTTAGACTACTGATAATAATTTCTAGTTTTCACTGTGCTCTTATCATGTGTCAGATACCTCACCAAGTGGGTCACATATAAATTTTCTTTAACATTCACAATGAGCCTGTGAATATTATTATACATATTTTATGTTTATGAGAACAGGCCCCAAAAGATTAAGTCAAGCTAGTAAGTGGTTTAGGCAAAATTCAAGCCCAATCAGATTCCAAGTCTATGCCTTTTATTGGATTTTGTCCATTCATTCATTCATTCATTCATTCATTAAAATTTTTTTTTTTTTTTTACTTTGGGTAAAGAAAGTTGAGTTGATTAACTCCCAGCTCATGGCAGATTGCTAATATAAATTTGGGCAAGGCCCCTCTCCTGCATTCTTTGATTAGATGATGGGTTGGGTATTTTATAACAATTTCCATCTTACCTTCCCTTGATGTAGGCACACATACTTATATGTTTAATATATAGCCTTTAGTTATATATATTTTGAAGATCTGTATTCATATTTAATAAATGCAAATGGCATTATTGCTTATATTTCATTTCCCCACCGCTCAGCACTATGGTTTTTAAGGTCTATCCAGATTACTCTGCAAATGTCCATTGGAGTGTTTCCTCACAACTGCATGGTGTAGCCTCATCACATTTCACCAACCATCGGCCCCAGGGGTGGTGTCTCAGGTTGCTTCCATCCACCAGGAACAATTGTGATATACGTCCTTGCATCTGTCCCATGTGGAACTTGGTGAGACTTTCCCCACAATATATACTCAGGGATTGTTTAAATGACTAAACCACCCCAGATTGTTTCTCTCTAGAATGTACCCATCTTTATTTCCATCAATTCAATAGGTTCTTATATCCCCATGTTCCTTTTCACCCTTGAAGGCCTGAGCTTTGAAATACTAGGTTAGTTTATACTATCATTAAGGGCAACTTTTGAGATGGGAAATTTGTTTGAATGTGGTATCCCTATTCCCACTAAGTTTTCTAATTCTCAGAGACTTTCATACCATTTAACTAATTGCATTTGTTTGGTATTTTTGTCTTCATTTCATTGATAAAAAACTTGAACCGCAAAGGGTAATGAGAATACCAAAGCAGTGAGTTGTGAAGCTTGTAGTATAAGATCTCTTGATTTTCCTATTATGTTATTTCTCAAAACAAGCTGCATCTGAATGTCACGGCCTAATCTATTTGTTCAGTTTCTCAGCAATAATCGGAGTCTTAGCATAATTACAGGAGGGGCGAGTGTTGGTTGCAGGGAGAACATGGAGAATTGGCTGCTTTTGGAGTTGGTCAGTACTAGACTTAAATGACCTGAGGAGCTTAGAAACACAACTGAGATTTGTGAGGAGGAAGGGCGTGGAAACATGTGATATGGAATAGACAGATTTTGAGGCTGTGCTTTCTGTTGGATTCCCTGGGAAGCAGATTCTGAGATAAGAGGGATGATCACAAAGAACACTGGCAAGGAAATGAGGGAGTACATTAGGGAAAAAACAATAAAGAATCCATTACAAAGCCAGCTACAGTAATGAGCTACTGGAACTCTTCCCACTGGGGAGTTCTAGACGTAAGATTGAACATGTCTCAGAGTTCATCCCACTTAGAAGAAAGAAAAGAGGGGTATTGGTTTTTTTATTTTTTTATTTTTATAGTTTGACATTTACCTAATAATAACTTTTCTCTTTTTAAAGCTTTTTAATGCTTTTTGACTTTTCCTTATGACTTCCTTATAAGGCCCATTATTCTCTTGTGAATTATAATTTGGAAAAACATGGAAGTTTATTGAATATTGTTCTTTATAGTTTGCCAAGTAAGGTTCAGGAAGAGAGAGTTAATGAAAAGCTTACATAATATGGCAATATTCCCAAAGTTTTCTTTTTTGGACAAGCAGAAGATTCTGCAATTAGCGATGGGAACCAAAAAAATCTTCTTTAACTAGACGGCCATGGATGTCCATATTTGAAACAACCTTCATCTATTAGACATTAAAGCAACAATTAAAAGGATAGCTTGGTTTGTAAGAAGGAAAGATTATTTTGTTTAGAGAAAGTCTAGAGGCCTTAAAATAATTGAATTGTAATTAGAAAATATTACTGAATTTGTTTCAAATATACACTGAATGGCTAGATTATTATGATCTCTGAACACATAATAATCTGGCCACTCAGTGTATATTCTGTATAATAAAAGGCTAATATGAAAATTATCCACTTGACCAGGAGTTCAACCAGCAGGCAGGCCGGCCAACAGTCCATGTCCCCTCCCCCTGGCCAGGCTGGCTGGACCCCACCCATGCATGAATTCATGCACCAGGCCTCTTCATGCACCAGGCCTCTAATATATATATATTTTGCATCACTTAATTACCTGATTCCAAACTTTTCATAACTAAACACTCTGGGGATAAATTTAAAAAATGGAACTATAAAACAGTCAGAGAAAGTAAATAATGTAAAAAAAATAAAGCAACACAAAGAATCAAAAAGACTAAATTATCCAGACGTCTACAGATGGTGACCCAGAAGTACTGATCAGAATTTCCAAAGTAAAAATAGTAGAAGGTTCACCTGCAAAGAAAGAAAACATCACTGTGTAATATTTAGTCAACAGCATTATTTCTGAAATTTTAATAGAGAGGTAAAACAATGTGCTATAATGCAAATGGGACTGCAAAATATTTCTCACAAGGCTTCAGAGGTATTTTCCAATAAATTTGAGCTGAATTAAGTCACTCAAGGCAGTAAGAACTCCAGTGATTTTACCAACCTTATTTGGGTCACAGTTCAGTTATTTTTTTTTAATCAACACTAGTTTAGGTAAAATTTGTAGAAATTGTGAAAAAATTAACAATAGCAACATAAGTTGTTTTTTTCCTCCTGATGAACAGATAAGTATATGGGAAACTTTTTACTTGAGTTATGTAAGATTATAAAAAGAAGTAGATTTTGAACAATATATGGTAGGCCATTCCCTGAATTGCAAAAAAAAAAAAAAAAAGAAAAAGAAAAAAAGAAAATGTTTAACAATTATAAAAACTTTAGGTAGGTTTAACAGAATTTGGGAAAAGACACTACCAATTACTCAGGCTTTTGTTAATTATTATTATCTAGGTTAGTAATCCTAGGAAGAAAATTTCCTTTTTCTTTTCCACCATTTCTTTTTGCACAAAACTAAGGAATTTTAAGAGGGAGAAAATTCAAGTAGGTATGTTTTCCTTTGACTTTCCAATCCTATCGCTAATCAGAAATTTTACTTGACGAAAAAGAGTCAAATGTCTTAACAGAAATACATTGAACTGCTGCTGTGATTTTTGTTCAAGGATCTTCCCTGAAGTAGGATGAACAAAGTGTTCAAATATCACATGTTTAGTGTTTCTAAAAATAAAAGTTGAAAATCACAGCTCCATCTGGTTTTCATCTTGCCTTCACTAAATTCCCCACCCCCAATTTAACTTTGTCATGTTGATAAAACAATGAACATGCATGTGAGATAAATTATTTGAAAGCTACATTTAGTT